GGGGTTTTTATAAATGCAGAGAAGAGTGGTACTAGGGGAGGGGGAGGGGGGATAGGGGAGTTAGTAGGGGGAGGGGGGTAAATATAGATACAAATAGGAATAAAATTAAGATGGGTATCCATATTGGGTGAGAAATAAAAATAATACGAGATACAATGAGATACCCAAGATGTATGAGCATATATAAAGATATGTATGTATGTATGTATGCATGTATGTATGTATAAGGGGAAAATATGCATATGTACAGGGATATGTGTAAACGGCTGTACACATATTATGACATTTATGCTTAAATTAATAAAATCTTATTATTTAAAAAAAAAAAAAGAAGAACTAGGGGGGGTCACCATCACAGTCTTATTACACAGGGTCATTTATCCCACCTGCTTAAAGCTGTTTTGCACTTCTTGGTTCTTGTCAGTGCAAGGTGTGGAACACATAAATTAGAGCTTCGAGAGGGACCCAACTAGGGTAGTTAGTCACGTTGTGATACGGCAGATCAAAAGGAACCCATTATCCCTTGTTTTTGGATCTGAGATTATACTTAAATAACCTTCTGATTTTAAAAGCTATTTAAAGCACTTTATGGATGGCCAATCAGGGCTGTAGCTACCATGGGGCGAGTGAGGCACTCGCCTCAGGTGCAGCTGAGAGGTCGGCATAGTCAGGGCTGGTCTGGCTGCGCCCCCTTGCCCAGGCGGCCAGTACAGCCACGGTTCGGGAGGGAGGGAGAAGAAGAGCGGCACAGGCTCCAGCTTCTCATCGGACCCCCACTGCTCTTCCCTGCCTGTATGGGCAGAGGAATGTGTCCTCAGTCTCTTTTTCTATTTCAAAAGGGAAATGTCAGGGGTCTGTTTAGACCCCCGATATTTCCCCCAAAGCCCCCAACGGTAAAAAAAACAAAGAAATAATAATAAAAAGTAAACTAATTTTTAAAAAAAACCCACACACTCATGCACACATACCGTATTATTAGACATGTGCAAAGACTAAAAATTTGTCCCAGACTAAATGAACCAAAACTAAAAATGTTTTCATTAATTTCGTCAAACGAAACAAATTTTGATGCTATTTTGGATTTGGCCACAAGCGCATTCTGCACATGCACGCCACCAACCAGGAAGCAGTATGCATGATGCCATGCGTGTTCTTGCCTCGGGCGTAAAAGGAGCTAGCTATGGCTCTGTGGCTATTAACATGAAACATGCATTGTTACGTATGTTTTAAGACAGTTGTTGAGTTTCGATTACTCATTTGAAGTTTTTACAGCCGTAAGGACTAGATCAGAGAACTATGAAGGATCGTTGTGAGTTCTGAGAATAAGAGACTTTCACTTTCATTTCTCATGAGCCGTCAGCGATGGCGTCTGCTGATCTAAGAGAGGAGCTGGAGTGCTCCATCTGTCTGAGCATTTACGCGGATCCTGTAAACCTAAAATGCGGACACAATTTCTGCCGAGAGTGTATTGATCGCGTGCTGGATAAACAAGAGAAGTCTGGAGAATATTCCTGCCCTGAATGCAGAGAAGGTTTTACGAAACGTCCTGCACTGCAAAAGAACATAACTTTGTGTAACATAGCGGAACGTTTTTTGTCCCTTCCGCCAAGCCAAGAGGAAGTGGGGGTCTCCTGTACTTATTGTGCTGTCATTCCAGCATGCGCTGTTAAATTCTGTCAGCTGTGTGAAGCCTTTCTCTGTGAAAAACACCTAAAGGTCCACAGCAAGTCGCAAGCACATGTCTTATCTCACCCCAACACTTTCCTGGGGACTAGAACATGCACCATCCATAAGAAGATCCTGGAGTATTACTGTATGGAGGACGCTGCCTTTATATGCATGTTTTGTAGGCAGGATGGAAAACACCAGGGGCATCAGGTGGAGAAGCTGGATGAGGCTTCAAAAAAGAAAAAATACAAATTGAGTAATATTCTGCAGAAAATGAAGACAAGGAAATTAGAAGCTAAGAAGAGGATCCAAAGTCTGCAGGAAATCAACAGAAAAGCACAAGATAATGCAGCTGATGAAACCAAGAGAGCCACTTCCCTGTTCAGAGACATCAAGACACAGCTGGAAGAACTGGAGAAGAAAGTCCTGAGCGAGATCTCCCGGCAGGTGGAGCAGGTCTCTGTCTCAGTTTCTGATATGATCCAGCTATTGAAAATTAAGGAGGATGAGCTGTTCAGCAAGATGTGTTACATAGAAGAGCTGTGTTGCATTTCTGATCCAATAACTGTCTTGCAGGAATCAGACATGGGTCTCTTGCATGATGATGATGAAGAAAAATGGAGAGTTGATAGACACCTCCATGATGGAGGTGATCTGGATGTGGCTATCATTTCAACCACATTGCACACAGGTTTGTCTGATATTTTGACTGGGATTCTGGTCCAGAACCATAAAGATACACGGCTTTACCCAGGTTCTACTGTAGAGGACAAAGTTCACTTCAAGGCCACTGAACCATCCAGGTCAGTGTCTGAAACGAACTCAAGCAAACTGCTCAAACAGCATCAGGCTGGAAGACCAAGTTTTGAGTCTGTACATAAAAAACCTGGACCGTTGGAGAAAGATGACATATCACTGGATATAAATACTGCTGGTCGTTACATACATATAACTGATGACAGGAAAACTGCTTCCTGGTCACCAAACCAGAATTACCCAGAAAAACCAGAAAGATTTCAGGATCAGCCTCAGGTTTTAAGCAGTTGGCCTTTCCTCTCAGGGCGACATTACTGGGAAGTGGATGTCAGCTGGTCACAGAGGTGGATAGCTGGGATGTGTTATCCCAGTATAGCCAGAAAAGGTGATCAGTCACTCATTGGAAATAATAACAAGTCCTGGTGTTTGGAAGGGTGGGATGGTCGGTGTTCAGTCATACATGACAATGAAGTGATACAGTTGCCTGATAGTATCTCTAGTAATCAATTCAAGATATATCTGGATTACGAGGGAGGGCAACTATCCTTTTATGATCTGTGTTACCCATTCCAACACTTGCACACCTTCACTGCCATCTTCACTGAGCCTCTCCATGTTGTGATAGCTGTAGGAGAAGATGGCAGAATAAAGATATCTGGGGTAAATTCGGACATGTGAACGGCAAATGTTGGCGTTGTCTCAAGGAGGGGCAATTCTCATCCAGTGGAATGAGGCAGTGGGTAGAACTAAAATAATTGCACTGTTTATTTTGGTGTTGGGTTATCGTTTAGCTGGTTCAACCACAATTAATTAAACAACCTTGTTATTATACTAAAAGTGTTTTTTAAAGCTATACATACAGTATACAAGGAGACAGTATATACCACCCTTTCTCAACATTTTTTGACACCAAAGGAACCCTTGAAGGAATTTTCAGATCTCAGAGAACCCTTGTTAAAAATGAATATGTTGGCAGCTCACAATAAATTAGGTTGTGGATATAATGCATTGGTGGTCAGCAGGGGGAAGAATACCCCCTTACAGTAGTGGTCAATTGAAGGCATGTCACTCTCTATGGCAGCTAAAAGATCATTTGTGTCAGTTGTTACTTAAGATGAGGAGCTTCAACGGGCCTAGACCACTGGCTCAGTCCATTGATGCAGGCACCATCAGACGGGAAATCAGTCCACTGCTTATTGTTTAAGGAACCCCTAGCAATCTCTGGAGGAAGCCTGGTGGAGAAAGGCTGGTATATATTTAACTCTTCTGCCACCTATGCCACTGATCACTACTCCATTAAGTAGGTATTGCCCCCCCCCCCCCAGTCTGTTGGAACACTGCGACAGTTTGGTTGAAAAGTAACCAAGAGG